TTTTAAAGTGTTGAAAGCAAAGATATCAGCTTGAAGACTAAGGTGCACTTGACCAAAGCCATAGCATTTTCAATAACCTCATATGCATGTGAAAGTTGAACAGTGAATAAGGAAGACTGTATGTAGAAGAACTGATGCTTTTGAGTTATGGTGTTGGAGGAGAATATTGAAAGTGCCATGGGCTGCCAAAAGAACTAACAGATCTGTGTTGGAAGAAGTGCAGCCAGAGTGCTCCTTGGAGACCAGGATGGCTTCTTATATGTCGGACATATTGTCAGGAGGGACCAGTCGCTGGAGAAGGACTGGTCAAAGGAAAAGAGGAAGATCCCCAGCAAGATGGTTTGGCAAAGTGACAGCATCAATGGGCTCAAGTGTGGCAACAATGGTGAGGGGGGCCCAGGATCAGGCAGGATCTGCTGTGCATAAGGTTGCTATGAGTCAGTACTGACTCGATTGCACCTAACAACAACAACATACATGAATGAAGGACTCTTGGTGTGGGATTGCAGGATAAGCACCGCACTGCTAATGGTGAAGGTTGGCAGTTCAAACCTGCCAGCTGATGAAAGAGGCTCCTTTCTGTACCTACAAAGTTTTACAGCATGGGAAATCTTACACCGGAGTCAGTATGATTTGGAATTGGCTGGATAGCAGTGAGGTTAAGAGGCGGTATATGTGAATGAATGAATGAATGAATGAATGAATGAATAGGTCTGCCACAGAAGCAGTCATAGTCCTGTTAAGCTGGGTCTGCAGAGGGTTTTACTGCACTCCATAGTTATTGCAGGCAAGCTCTGGACAATTAGCTCTGCCTTTTAGGCATTCCACACTAACTGGTAAAAGGTTGAGGTCTGAGTCACAGCTCACTGGTGACCAACAGTGTGTCCTTGGGGACTTCACATTGTATCTCAGAGCCTGGATATCTTCATCTGTAAAAAGTGGGTTAGGGTTCCTATCTCACAGAGCTGTCTGAAGGACCAAACGGCCCTTAGACATGAAAGTATTTTTTAAAACCTTTAACAAAGGAATCTAAATGAAAACAAAACCAAATGTACAGAAAGTACCAAGGCTGACATAAGTGGTCTTAGGTTTCTTACCCTCATGTGATAAGATGAGTCAGACTGGCACCTGCTTCTGGTCCCTCCCACTTCTCACAGGTGCCCAGAGTGTACCACTATGCTGGGATGAGCTGCCCTCCAGTCCTGAGCCAGGAAGTCAAGTACTTCTGTGGTCCCAAAGACTCCCAAGAGGCCTCAGGACATGACTCTTAACCTGCAGTGTCTGCTTTCACTCCTCAGGGACCTCTCTGGCTCCAGGCCCTGAAGCCCAAGTCCTGACTGCCATTAAGTTCTCTGGCCTCCACCAAAGCTCTGCTTCCTCATCAACGATCTAGGCTAAGACCTAGATCTTAAGCTGAGACTCCCTAGCAACAGTCTCCTAGCTGGGGTCACAAACTCTCCCATGTACCACCAAGTATGGGAGTTGAGGAGGTAAAGGGAGCAGAGAACCCAGTCTCTCAAGGAAGCATGAGCAACCCTGAGGGCCAGGATGGGACTGCTCTACCCAACTCAAACAATCCTCCTGAATATTTCTCTGGTCTCTAATACAGAGTTAATATTTGCCTCCCTACACAATTTCCCTTCTCTCATTGGAAGGAAAGATGGGAATTCTAAGTAGGGCAGAGGGCACAGACATGGTGTAGAGGATTGAAAAGTCACTGAGGAGCCAGCTGGTCACTGAAGCAGACAGGCAGGTGGGCTGCTTGGTCCTGAGTTGCCTCTGGGACTTCTCATGAGATCCTCTAGTGGGTTCTCCCCCTGCGCTCCACCTGGTAGAGGAGATTGGCCAGTTTTATCCTCCCACTACTGGTAGCGTAGTGGTTACAAATCTCCCTCACCACCCCAAGGCTTTGGCACCCTGCCACCCTGTTCTGCCCTCTAAGAGGCTCCTAGTACTTTGTCCTCCTGCCTAGATCTGACCCTCTCCTGCTTTTCATTCCCACTAAGCTTATGCCTCTTCCAAATAGCATCCCCCTGGACAACGAACCACAAGGTCAGCTGTTTAAACCCACCAACACTCCTCGAAAACCTTATACAAGGTTGCTATGAGTTGGAACCAACTTGGACGGCACTTAACAACGACAGTTACCATAATGACTTTTTAAAACAGTTACCAGGAGTCATTCCTGATTCAAGGCAGCCTGTGTGTCAGAGAATTGTGCTCCAATAAGGTTTTCAGTGCTAATGTTTCAGAAGTATATCACCAGGCCTTTCTTTTGAGGTGTCATTGTTGTTGTTGTTGTTAAGTACCATCAAGTCGGTTCCGACCCATAGTGACCCTGTATAAGGTTTTCGAGGAGCAGCTGGTGAGCTTGAACCACCGACCTCATGGTGCAAACCAACTTTGCAGTCCAGTGCATTAACCCACAGTGTCACACCAGGACTCCCTGATGAAGTTAGGGGGGGTCAGATGCTGCCTCCATTCCATTTTTGGCAGCGGTGGTGGTGGTGATGGTGGTGATGTGCTGTGGAGTCAGTGCAGACTGATAGTGACCCTGTACAGGGTTTCCGAGGCTGTAAATCTTTACTGGAGCAGAAAACCTCATCTTTCTCCCGTGGGACAGCTGGTAGTTTCGAGCTGCTGACCATGAGATTAGCAGCCTGATTAGTAACCACTACAATACTAGAGCTTTTTTTATAATTCCCTAACTGAATTTTGAAGAATGGTGTACTGCCTAACACATTTTTTAAAGCTGTCAGCTCAAATTTTTCATCAGAAATGTAAATCATCACAAATGCTATAATTTCTGAAGTATAATAGATATGGTGACATATTTTTAAATAAAATTATTAAAACTCTGCTTTAAATGTGCAGTCAATGAAACCTAAACATTATTACAATTTGTCATTCATTGTGTTGTTGCTTTTGTTAAGTGCTGTCGAGTCGGTTCTGACCCATTGCAACCCTGTATAGGGTTTTCGAGGAGCAGCTGGTGAGTTTGAACCACTGACCTTGCAGTTCAAATGGCTTTGCAGTCAGGGACATTAGCCCACAGTGGCACACCAGGACTCCTTGTCATTCATTAATGTGTATATGTTGTTGTTGCTGTGTGCCGTGGAGTCGGTTCCGACTCATAGCGACCCTGTACAGGGTTTCCAAGGCTGTAAATCCTTATGGGAGCAGAAAGCCTCATCTTTCACCCACGGAGCGGCTGGTAGTTTTGAACCACTGACCTTAAGGTTCACAACCCAAGTCGTAACCACTATGCTACCAGAGCTCTCTCTATATATATGTATGTATATTAATATTATATATATGCATTAATGAATATATGTATATGTGTGTATATACACATATGTGCGTATGTATATGTATATGTGTGTATGTGTGTATGTATATGTATGTATATGCATGTGTGTGTATATATGTGTGTATATACACACATTAATGAACAATATATATATATATATATATATATATATAGGAAACCCAATCCAGGGTCGCTATGAATTGAAACTGACTCCACAGCACTTAACAAACAACATCAACATGAACAAGTCCTGTACCATTCAGTGGAGACAGCATAATTATATTCAGGGCAGGAAAAGGTCTGTTCATTTTTAATTGGAGACGTGTGGTTGTGAAGGATGGGTGGGCAGGAAGAACCAACAATGCCTTGACTGCTGGCCTGTTTGGAGGCAGACCACTTGTAAAAGGTTGAGGATCTGTACATGATTCCAATCAAACTATTTGGACCTCTGCAGGTGCTGGGAGATCTTCTTAGTTCTGGGGTGACTGCCCCATTGTGAAAGCCACTAACCCAGAGCTCGGCTGGCTGGATTCTCTGTCCAGATGCTCCATCTTCTTCCCTCAGACTGGCAGGAGCTCCCTCAATGAACAGCCAGGGGAAAAATCAGAAGAAACAGAAACTGACACTGTCCCATTGCAGCTACACGTGATGGTTTCCTTTCCCATCCCCCCATTCCCAACACTGACCTCCCACACCCTCCCTTCCTGCACCCCTCGTTCTCCATCCCACAAATTCTCTGTGTACTGCTGAGCAATCAAGACCTCAGTGTTACTCAGGGTTCGGGACAAGACAAGGGATCATGGTTCCCCTCTCACAGAATTGAAGTGAGGACTAAAGGAAAGCTACTGTGTGCCTGGAAGTTGACTGTGTGTCTGTGTCTGTGCTGTGAAGTCCCAGAGATGGTGACACATTTGACTTTCATGGAGCAGGAAGGCAGCGTTTGCAGGAATCCAGAATTTCTGGCTTCTTTCTTGCTTTGTTCCTGGAGCTTTTCGGGGAGAATCCACCTTGGCTCAGGACCCAGGGCAAAGACTACTGAGGCACAAGGAGGTCCCATGGAGTAGAAAAGTTTAAATGAGTGTTACAAAATGACAGGATAAGAGAGATACAAACTCTAAATCCAGCCTTTATTATTATTCTCCATTGGTTGAACAGGAGGCAGGAAACCCAGACCTACTTAGCTCACTCCCACAAGCAGAGACAGCTCGAGGGGAGGGGATCCCTGGACATGCTTCTCCACCCAGTAGAGGGGCGACAGGACAAGGGTGGGGTGTGGGGTAGGGGAAAGTCTCTGCTGTTTCTGCTAGGAGCAGGGAGAATTCAAGCAGTGAGTCATCCCTGCAGGAGGCCAGGACAGGCCCAGAATCAGGCAGGAATCAAACAGGAACAGCAGAGACATTGGGTTGGGTGGGCTGGACAGATGAGAAAACTCTTAGGGTCCCCAAACAGCACTGAGACCTCACAGAGGGGCCCTCAGGTCCTGCTGGCTCCAGGGACTGAGAACCTCAGTGAAGCACCCCCTGTCTGAGATGCTCACAGAGGGGACCTGTTGTCTCCCTTCACTCCTATTCAGTAAGGGTGAGGAAACAGTGTGGACAGAGAAGCTAGGAGATGAGGCGGTGGGCAGAGAAAGCTGAGCCAAAAGCATGGGGCTGGGTGTCAGAGTCAGTGCCTGGAAGGGGTGGGGGCCCTAGCTGCTGCTCTGCTGCTCCTGCTGACGGATGAGGTTAGCGATGGGGCTGGTGATGCCGCCTATCAAGGTCCAGTACTCGTCAAAGCTGATGCGCCCATCATGGTTGGCGTCTAGGTTCTGAATAAGCTTGTCGGCAGCCTTTCGGTTCCCTGTGTCCTGGGGAGGGACCAAAGGTCAGCCATTCTGAGTGTGGCTGTCCCACACAGCCCACACACAAGATCCTGAGTAAAGACCACTGCAAACAGAGTTCACTGGCTCACAACTGGGCACTAGGGGGTGAGGGAGAGGCCCCAAGGTAGGGAGACCCTGAAAGAACAGAGGAGGTGAGGATGAGACCCCGAGGCAGGAAGATCCTGAAAGGACAGAGGCCTGAAGGTGAGGATGAGGTCCGAAAGTAGGGAGACCCTGAGAGGACAGAGGCCTGGGGATGAGGATGAGGCCCCGAGGTAGGGAGACCCTGAGAGGACAGAGACCTGGGGGTGAGGATGAAGCCCTGAGGTAGGGAGACCCTGAGAGGACAGAGGCCTAGGGGGGTGAGGATGAGGCCTTACCGTCAGCATATGGTTGAGCTCCTTCTGGAGCATCTTGCGAAAACTGCTCTTGCTGATCTTGTTTTTGCCCAGGCCAAAACTGGTCATGTATTTATTGAAGTTTTCTACTAGAACCATGATCGCCTTCTCCAGCTCTGTGTAGCAGTCTGCCATCTCACTACCTCACCTCCTCCAGGGGCCTGGGCAATGTGAGAATAGGGGATGAGAAGAGTCCCCCACACTCACGACCCTCTCCCCTACCCTTATACTCTTCCTGTCCCAGAATCCTTAGCTGGTTTGTCTTGGGGGGCTGCAGGAGAAGGGGAACACTCTGACAAGGTAGGCATGGGTGAACCCTTGAAGGAGAATTATGTGGCTCCTCTAATCCAGGTGTTAACCAGCTCAACCACCTCAGCAGGTTCTCCAGGCCCTTCCCCAGCCCCAGGCCTGAGCTGACAGCTTGTCAGAGTCCAAGTAAGAGCAAGAGGCTCCCATGGGAAGAGGAGTAATTGCCTACCCCTCCTGCCACACCTGGCCAATCAGCTACCAAGGAACTGCAGAGATGAGTCAAGTGTAGACCTGGGATAAGAGCTATGCCCCTGCCCACAAGGTAGCCTGAGAAGAGACTCTAGCCCCAGGCAGTAAAACAGGAGTTAGGGACCTAGGTCCTCCCCAGTCACCCAGTTGGGCCCAAGGAGATTGAGTCCAGGGTCTCAGACCATGGCTGTCCCTCTCTGGAAAGGGGCATAAGTTCTTGATCCATCCAGTCAGACTCTATGAAGAATGCCCCAGTCATGCCCACAGCACTCCTAAAGGGACAGCAGGACCCAAAAATCACCCCACCACCCCCACCAAATTATTACCTAAGTGGAGCAATGACTGGTTTGCCCCAGCTGGAGGCAGTTCCTGGACACAGCTACAGACTGCCAGAGGCCACCAGAATCCCCATTCACCCCAGGACAAAAGACACTCACTTTCTGAGAGAATACAGCCTTCTGAATAACAGGATATGAGGGGAGCAGGCGGATCTACTCTGGGAGTCACCGCCCATGCCCAGAACCCCCCCATGTCAACCCGGGCCAACCACACTCCCCTCCCACCCCCAGGCCCAGGAATGAACTCCGGCTGCCCTCGCCTGTTCTAGATACAGTGGACACAGCTTCTGTGGGACCTGAGCAACTGCCTGTTATACCAAGCCCATCAAAGCTACCTGCCCCTGCCACCTACTTTCAAATCCCCTTCCCCACGGGGTATCCCCATCTCCAGCTCCCTCTACTCTGGCATCTGCACCTAGCTAAGCCTGCACAAACCACACCTCCTGTGGGAAGCCTGCTGTAACCCATGTCCTCAGCACCCTCCTCCAACTCCTACAGATACATCTATATTCAGTGCCCAGAACCCACTGACTGGGGTGGCCTAACCTCTTCCTGGACTTTGTCTTCTAAGACATTCCTTGAGACTGGGACAATATTTTTACACACAGCTACTGTATTTTCTTTACCAAATCATAGGACTCAGAGACTGCCAGGAAGACAAGAAATTTGGGACACATTTGTTTCATTCCTGGATATACCATTGCTCTGCTTTAATCTCTGTGTCTCCGCTAGACCTCTCTTCAAGGGCACAGTGACTTACTCAGGCCTCTCCTGCCAGCCCTGATGCCAGGTAACTATAGCCCCTGAACACCCTTCTGAGTGGCTCAGACGTGTGCCTTCCTGAGGCTGAGACATGGAGAAACAGGACTAGGATGGAAGGAAGAAGGAAAAGAGAGAGGCAGAGGGATCCGTCTGGGATGGAGCAGTCATCCATTTCTGGTTGGGAATCCGGCCCTTTTTCTCCCTGCCTTGCCTGCCTGACCACTCTGGTCTGTGACAGAAAGGACAAAGGATGGAGCTGTGGTTACAGGAAACCATATTCTTTTCCATACAGGCTATTTGTCACAGGCCAATTTCCATACAAAAGTTCTAGCAATCAGAAATGAGAGGAAAAAACATGTTTCAGTACATGAGCTGTCTACTCTGCCACTCTTGAATGGGGGGTGGCCAAACCCAATGACCAAGATTCCTGAGGATACTGACAGGCGGACCCACTTCAGAAAGGTGCCAAGCCTGCTTCCAACTGTGTTTAACCATTCCAGATCTGGAACTAAATGTGGGAAACAGGGAGAGAGAAAAAAGAGAAAGAAACTGCTTCTTTGGGGAGGTGTTCCTGTCTGCTCTCTCCCCAGTCCCACCTACCCCACCTACTACCTGTGTTCTTCATCTACCTCCTTGGAATTTTATTTCTCAGACCACAGGAGTCATCTCCAGACCTTCTTTAATTACCCTACCCAGCCTCTGGCAGCCAAGCAGGCAAGATGCAGAATGGGCATCCCAAGAGAATCCTCAGCTGGGAAACCCCAGGGAGGTAGCTCAGCATCTCTGGGCTTCAGTTCTCCCAGTAATCCACCCTCCTCCATCTTCTTATAAAATGGAAGGTGCTGGAGATAGCCATCTGGACAAATGCTTTTCTGCAGTGTTTTCTGAAGGAAGGATGGCAGAGCGGCACAATCAGGTGTCATTACCCTCTTCCTCCCTCCCTCCCCTGGGGGCCAGGAGACAGGACCTGACACCCCACCCATCCACAGCCACTCACTCCACCTCCCAGTCCTATCCTCTCAACAACCAAGTCAGAGGGAACCCGGGGCGTGGGGGGAGGGCGGAGTCGGATGTGCTGCCCCACCTGTCCCCTCCTTTTGTCACAGGTAGATCCTGACCTGAGAGTGGGGGAACACACACAATGTGCACTGGAGCCTCCAAAAAAGTGGGAATGGAGCTTGTCACCTAGGCCCCCGGTCCCCTCCCCACAAACTTCTCACTGTCTTCTCCTTGGCTGATTCATCATTGAGCAATCAGAAGGCTCCCGCCCACCTCACCCCAGCTTGCTGACTTCTCCAAAAGTCCAAATTGCCCTGACACCATCCCCCTGGATCTCAGCCACTCCAACCCCACCCTCCCACCTCCAGGTTCTGGGCCCCACCCCTTCAAATCCCAGGTCCCCTTAAACCTTGAGTCCCAAACATCTTTCACACCCTTCAAAATCCACCTTCTCTTCTCACCTCCAGAAACACTTCTTGAAGCTTAACTTGTTCCCAAGAGTGGGATATGTCCCTGGACTTCCATTTCTTCTAGTCAACTGTTCTCAGTAAAGCCTCACTCACCCTCAGCCCTAAACTTCACATCTTCTGTGTCCCTTCCATCTCCCTTTAACTACTTCACCCATTAGTTCATAATTCATTGGCTAATCATTCATTGTTCACTTATTCACTCTCATTGGCTCACTTACTCGGTAACACATCCATTCTCTTACTCATTCACTCATTCACCCCTGCTCCCTTCCATTTATAGAGACAGTGCAATCTGAACTGGGCTGGTAATATTTTATTTGCAAGGCTGTTTCAAACACATTCAACCTCAACAGTCATATTCTCTGTTTTCCCTTTACATGCTTTTCCTCAACTTCAGAAGATTAAACTCTCACCTCTCATGCAAGCTCCCTGTCTCATGCTTCCCTAAGCCTCACAGCACTGTCTACAACAGATTCACAGAGACACACACACACAGAGCTAAGAACTCTGCCATTCCTGTTCTCCTCGCTTTGGGTAACCCATCTACCTTCCACCGACTTCTGCTTGGAAGTTTGTAGCATGCAGCTGGACAAGTAACTGGTTCCCCCGCCATTTCTTCCAGATAAGCGGATAAATGAAGCTGGAAGAGTTTGGTGTGGGGAGATACACACACAACGGCTGGCCCTGTCCTCACTAATATCCAGACTTTCCTAGTCAGTGAAGAAAGTCTGAGCTCCTCACCAGCAACCCAATGCTCCCTCTCCAAATACTCCTGCCCTTACCCCCACCTCACACAGGGCTGGGCAGGAGAATGCTCCTATAGTGTGGGTGGCTCTGCCAAGCAAAGCAAGTCAAGCCAGAACCTGCCTGGGTCCTGAGGTGGAGAAGCTATTGAGGTTCGACCCCTTTCCTCTGGGCCTCACCACGTTCCTCCAGGGTCTTATAGTCCCTCCCTGAACGATTCCCAGGGCTCAAAGGAGACCTGCGTAGGTCCTGAGGCAGAGGAGAAGCCACCTCAACCCCTGCCCCCTCTCCTCTGCTTCACTGGATCCTCCCTGGCTCCCCCAAGGTCCCTATCCCAGTATACAACTCCCAGAGCCCAGAGAGGCCTGACACCAGCATCTGGCCACCTTCCTACCCCTACCAACGTATTTCGCCCCTTTTTCTGTTAGGGAAGGATCGGAACAGCTGCGGGCAAAGCTCCGGAGCACTCTGCCCAGTGGCTCAGCCCCTGGAGAGGAGCCCAGTCTGCTGCTGGGCCAGGGGGAGGGGTCTTCCCACCCCGTAACTTCCCCTGTAAACCTCACACAGTCCCCAGCCCCAACCCAGGGATTGAGGGCTCCCCATTTCCGAACTGGCCTCTGGAGAATGTTAATCTTTAAGGAAATCTTCCTGCCCTGCCTCTGGAAGGCCCTTCTCCTCAACCCCCTTCTTTGCCCCTTTTCCTGGCCCCCGAAGCCTGCAGGGCCTCCCTGGCCGGGCCTGGGGCACTCACCTGCCTGCTCAGTCCACTCCTTTCCTGTAGGACTCTGGGGTCTGGCCTCTGGCACTGCCAAGCAGCTCCCCCGTTCAGCCCAGTTGGGACTCCTCCCCGCTGCACTCCCAGAATCTGTCCCACTCCCTCCCTGGCCTGCCTGGTGGAGCTGGCTCTGTGGGGAGATAGAGACTGAGCTCCTTCTTGACTTGGCCCTGGGGTTGGGCCCTTGTTAAAGGGATACACACCTTTTTTAACACCCCTCCACCCCCACTCCAGAGGGAGTGGTAGAAGCTGGCACTCCCCTCAACCCCACCCTCCTAACCCTGCAGGGCCTAAGCAGAACCAGACCTGGTGGAGAAAGGACGGGAAGGACTGTCACCTGCTCTTCTCACCTGGATCACTGGGAGCCCAGTTTCAGGGGCCCCCAATAGACCAGTTCAATGAACACTCCAGGCCAGCCTGACTGGCCCTGGAAACCTCCTTGCTGTTGGGATTTCAGTGGGCCCAAGTCTGATTGATCTTCCGTCTCTAGTTCAGTCCATCAGAAACTCTTCTGAGGCCGGTTCCTGTAGTTGTTGTTAAGTACCATAGAGTTAGTTCCAACTCATAGCGACCCTCTACAGGGTTTCCGAGGCTGTAAATCTTTACCGGAGCAGAAAGCCTCCTCGTCTTTCTCCCGAAGCTGGTAGTTTCGAACTGCAGACCTTGAGGTTAGCGGCCCTATTGTAACTAGTTGCCTTGAAGTTGATTCCAACTCGGAGGCGATTCTCTGTGGGCATAGTAGAACTGCCCCATAATATTTTCAAGACTGGGACGTTTTTGGAAACAGATTGCCAGCCCTGTCTTCCAAAGCATCTCCAACTAGGTTCAAACCACCAGACATCCATTGTGCACTTAACTGCAAGACCCAGGGACTCTATGAGCCATCCTCATATGCAGCATAGGATTCCTCTGGAAACCCTCCTCCATCCCTTCCCTAAGACACACAGAAGCTGGCAGGTTCAATCTCTATCCAGAGGTAGCAGCTGACACCAGAGAGGGAACCCACTTACCCCCTCACACAGTGATGACTTGTTGGCACTGACCACTCACTATGGGTTAGGTTCTCTGCTAAATACTTAATATGAAGTAACACATTATCATCTTGAGCATCCTGTGAGTGACATGTTATTAATATCCCCACTTTACAGATGAGGAAACTGATACTCTGAGAGCATGCCCAAAGTCCCTAAGATAGTAGGTGGCAGAGCAAGTATTCAAACCCAGACCTGACAGCCTGTTACTCAGCCGTGTTTCATAGTCAGCAGGGGCCCCAGGATATCTGGGTTTACGTCCTTTTCCACATACCTGGGACATACCATCATTTCCAACCAGGTCCCATCCCTCAAACAGGTCCACTTCTCCCACCTCTTGGGCCTAGACCCACCCTCAAGTCAAGCCCAGTGGGAAAATGAAACCGTATTCACTTCCACTGCTAACCACTCCAGCCTTGACATGCTCCACCCCTCCTGAGGGCTCTCTGCCACCCAACCCCAACCCCCTCCTCACCCATGTATTTTCAAATACCCAGGGATATCCAATCAAGACAATACTTTTTCTATTTTTTATTAATCAAATGATACAAAACAACCATCATTCTGTAAATACCCAAGCACCCAGCTGGTTCCCTCACCCCTAAAGACAGGCCCTCCTCAGCCTCTCCTTAATCCCATTCCCCCTCTCTCCTTGCTTTATTTAACCCAGGGACAGAACCCTAGGAGGAGGCGGATGAAACTAGAGGTCAGAAGAGATGGCACTGGACAGACAGACAGCTACAATTGGAGAAGACATTAAGAGGGATAGGTTCTTGAAAATACTTTTTAGTGTCAAATATTAATTTAAAAGTTCAGCCTTGCTCCCAGCCCCCTTCCACAAATCAGCCTCCAGACCCCAGCTCCTCTATGCCCTTCACACATTACCAATTTCCTTGACCGTTACACCATTCTTATCCCTCAACATCCATCCCTGGCCCCAACCCACCCCCTGGCCTTCCCTCTGGTGGGACTCCTGGCCTGTTAACTCCAGGGAAGGAGGTGCTCAGAGACCCTGGGAGGGCAGTCATGAGTCTGAGCCTTGTGGCCGTAAGGAGAGGTGGTGGTGGAGACAAAAGTATTATTCCCAGGCCCACAGTCTGCGAGGTCCCCTCCTCCCAACACCCCCCCAAGAATTCCAGGAGAAGATTCTCAACTCCCCGGGCAAGGGCTCTCCAGCTTCACACCCTTGGCTGCTTCTCCAATCAGCTCCCAGAAACTTCCAAACTCCAGTTTAGAGTCATTGCAGCCACCCAAGTTGGCAATTTTTTCTTCCAGTCCGCAGTTGCTCTGAAGGGAAAGAACACACCCACAGCTCAGAAAGGCAGCACCTTCAGATCTTCCCACCCCACCCTGCCCAGAGGTAGGAAGCAAAACCTAAGCCTACCTGGCAGTGGCAAGGGGAAAGGGCTGGGGTTGCTAGTGCCAGGGGCCAGCAGTGTGGGTGGGGTCTTAGAGTGCTTGCTTGGGAAGTCAGGGTACTAGCTGAGGTAGGGTGTACTCCCCAAGTACCGGCATGAGGTGGGGCAGCTGCTGAGTGACCAGGTCCCGTAGCTCCGAGGAAGTCAGCGTCTCCTTTCCACCCTCCACTGAGTACTGATGGAAGTTCTTGATGAGGGTCTCGATGGCCCTCTCCACGTCACTGAATTCCTGTGCCTCCTGAGGACAGGGGACATCATGACTCACATCAAGAAGCTCTACCCACCTGGGGACATCCACAGATCCAAAACGGCAGAAGGGAGCAGGAAATCATCCATGCTCCTACCCACTCCTAAACCCAGAATCCAGTGGCCCCCACCCCATTGGCCTCCCAGCCACAGCGACCTCTGCTCTGAACCACAGGTTAGGCAAGCCAAGTCTTTCCTCCTACCCCCTCCCTCCCCCCCCCCCCCAAGCCAAGTCTTTCCTCCTACCCCCTCCCTCCCCCCCTCTTTCCCCCTCAGTCTCCAGGCAGGGCAGGCCCCAGCACGCAGTCTTCCTGGGAGGACTCCACTGACAGCAACCTGTGTGGGCAACAGGGAGGGGGCTGGGGCTCACAGGTAGAGTCCTTACAGGCTGACAGACCAAGATGAGATGGCCCAAATCAATGGAAAATACAGCCCTCAGTATGGAAGATAGAAGTGTGGGGACAGAAAACACATGAGGAATGAATGGGCTCACCTCAGCGTTGGCTGATCGGCACTGTCCCATGGTGTCCTGGGTGAAGTTGCTCCTCTGTAGAGAGTGGTGTGGTCCTACAACCTCCAAAGGAGCTGATGGCTCATGTTCCACCTAGAGCAGAGGTAAGGCCTGTCTTCCTTCCTCAGCTCCCTGCTTTAGATCCACCCCAAGGGGTCAAAGTCAGTCCTACACAAGGCCCAGTCCCTGCCTAGGCTCCAGGAGCTAAGGTCACAGCCCCCAGCCCAGTCCATTCAGAGGGAATCCCTTAGGCCTCACCTCAGCCTCACCCCCCCCATCTCTTCCAACCTCCAACCTCCTATCTATGTGTCCACACACACTCCAGGACCTGGTCACCAGCCATGCCCCTGGCAGACTAGAATAGAGCAGATGGGTTAAGTGTGCTCTCTGGGCAAGGGCAGACCATTTAGGGAAAAAGACCGCAGTTTCCTTACCTGCTGGCAGCTGCTGAGACTGGACAGGAGGAGTCAGCTCCCTGAGCTCAGTTCTTATACCTGGGGGAAGGGAGGGGAGACAAGGGGCTGGGCCTTATCCCTAAGCCACCCCTACTATTACAGCCACCTGGGCTTTGAGCCAGTGTGTGGGTCCCACCCTCCATTGGCCAGAGCAAAGAGCCCGCCCCCTCACCCCTGCCACAAGGAGGGAAACTTGGAGGGCTGGGTCTTGGGATGTCCCTGGCCCTAGACCAGCATGTGGGGAAAGGAGGGAGGGATGGCTGGGAAGATAGAAAGGGAGAACTTAGACATATCCTGGGGTCAAGCTTGGGGATGGGAGTTGTCAATAACCAGGAACTGAGGTACAGGGGCTAATCAAGGCAGGGTTCACAGCACAGAAGGAATGAGGGGCATGTGGGGTAGAGACAGGTACCCGGGCTTCTCCATGTGTTCAATGTCACACACTCCTCCCAACCAGGGTTAACTTGGATAGTGATACTTAAGTCTGTCCCAACCCCAAGACCCAAGTCTTTCCTAGACTTGGTGGCAGAGAGAAATGGGAAAGACTCTGGTCAAGAGGCAGGAGCCAAAGAAGGGTAACCTGGTAGAGGGGGCCAGCCAGATTGGGTACTGTCCTGACTTCCCTTCTCCCAGAAAGCTCTCCTCAGCACCCAAATGGTGATCTGGCAACTAATCACCTCTCCAAACTCGTTTGGCTGCCTGTTCCTTCCTCTCTTAGCTCCCTGTGGTTTCCCCAACCCAGCAGCTGCACAGCAAACCACACCCCCAATTCCAGTACCCAGAATGGCATTCTGGCCCATCGGTCTAGGGACTCAGCCTTAATTCACCCTCAACCCAAGACTTCCTGCTTATCTTCCCAGGCCCAGTGGTCTGGAACCGGAAGTCACTGATAGGGAGAGGGAGGGATTACAAAGGGCAGAGGAGTCAATGTGGGTCAGAGCAAGAATAAGGTGGGCCCAGAGCCAAAGTTCCTGAACTCCTTTCCTAAACTCTGAAAGCAGACCATACATTCCATGCTCCTCCCTGTATCTCCTCCTGGGGAAGCCTGTACTCTGGTCTCATTCTGAAACTTCCTCTGAGAGGCCTCAACCTGAGGACCAGTCTAAAGGTTTCCCAAGAGCGCCTTAAGGAATCTCAGTGTGTAGGTCCCTCCAAGTGTCTCTCACTGTGCAGGGCCCTCAATGCAGAAACCTCTCAGGAATGTCTCAGCAATATGTCCCACAGGCCCGGCCTGGTAGTCCTTCTGAGCTGTCTCCATCTAGGGAGCCTTTAGATAGAAATGGGAAGAAGAAGAGAGGGGAGATTGTCTCAGCCTAGACGTTCCTCCAGACTAATACCCAGTAACGCAGCTGCCCTCAAGGCCATTGAGTCCTACTCATGGCGACCACATGTCAGAGCAGAACTGTGCTCCATCAGTATTCAATGGCCGATGTCTGATTGCATCCAAGCACATTAACTGTTTGCACCACCCAAACACTTACAGACTAATTGGTTGTTAAGTGTCATTGAATCTGTTCCTATTCACAGCAACCCTGTATAGTGTTTCCAAGGAGCAACTGGTGGACTTGAGCCACCAACCTTGTGGGTATCAGTCCAGTTCACCAACAGCACCACACCAAGACTCGTCTCTATATACTGTTGTTGTTGTTAAGTGCTGTCAAGTCAGTTTCTACTCACAGCGACCTAGTATAGGGTTTCCGAAAGCAGATGGTGGGCTTGAACCACCACCGGCAGTTCAAGTCAACCTTGTGGTCCAGTGCTTATCCTACAGCACCACGGCCCCCAAAGGACTCTACCTGACAGTATGGCATTGGCAACCAGTAGAAAGCAGTGCTCTGAGCTGCCCAGCCCCTGCTCCCTCTAGTGGCAGGTAGTGCAAACCACATGAGAGAAAGGAAAGCTGGGACAGGTAATGCAGCTTCTTCTGGCAGCACCACCACCACCCTCACTCCACATCCTTCAAACAGAACCTGATATCCTCTGTCTCCTTCATTTACTATTGAGGGAGGAATAGAGGGAAAGAGAATTTAGTGTTCCCAAGCACCCATCCCAGTTAATCACAGCAACTCAAATTCCAACCCAGTTCCACCTTTGTAACCTCACTTCTCCACAATTCTGTTTCTTCATCTTTAATGAAGAATTTAAACATGGTACCAACTCAAGGAGCAGACAAAATGATGAGTACTAGCACACAGTAAGCCTTCAACACATGTTCATGCCTGTCATTATCATTTGGCAGCACACATCCCGGTATAAGAAAGCTGGTGGTGGAATGGAAATGGGAAACACAGAGGAAGTGGGATGAGTGATGCTACATTGTGGGGATTCCAATCAATGACACGAAATAAAATGTGTATGAAGTGTTGAACGGAAAACTGATTTGCCCAAACCTGTAAACCTTTACCCAATTCACAATAAAATCTTTACACAGAAAGAAATCTGACAGGAAGGACCCCAAGTCCCAGGAAGTACCTCATCTGACTCTTACCAGATGTCGCTACCTTTCAATAGTCATTTACCAACCACTTGTTTATTGAACATTACACAAGACACGGAGCCTTAGGGGTGTAATGGGTTAAGCACTGGGCTTGCTAACCACGAGCTCAGCTAACCATAAGCCGCTGGTTGGGAGAAAGACGAGGCTGTCTGCTCACATTTGGATTTACAGTCTTGGGAACCCTAAGGTGCAGTTCTACTCTGCCTTACAGGTTCACTGAGTCAGAAAAGACGTAATAGCACTGGGTGGGTATAAGACCTAAGGAGCCCTGGTGGTGCAGTAGTTAAGTACTCAACTGCTAATCGAAAGGTAAATGATTTGAATCCACCAGCTGCTCCACAGATGAAAGATGTGACTGTCTGCTTCCATAAAGATTTACAGCCTTTGAAACCCTGTGGGGCAGTTCTACTGTACCTTAGAGGGACAATAGGAGTCTGAATTTATTTAATTTGGTTTTCGTTTGCTACAAAATATGAGCTAAGTGCTGTGGAATATGTGAAGATGAATAACACTCCCCACTTTCAAGGAACCTAGGTAGAGCAAGCAGTTTGCATTCAACCACTAGCCTTAAAGTTGTAACCCACCCAGTGGCTCTGTGAAAGAAAGGACTAGAAAAACAGCTTCCATAAAGATTGTTGTTAAATACCATCAAGTTGGTTCAGATTCATAATTATCCTGTATAGGGTTTCCAAGGAGCAGCTGGTGGGTTTGAAGCGCCAACCTTGTGGTTCACAGTCCAGTGCTGATCCTACAGTGCCACACCAGGAATCCATAAGGATTACAGCAAAGAAAAGAAACCCTACGGCGGCGCCGTTCTCTAACACACGGGGTGATCAGGAATCGGAATTCACTCTGCAGCAACAGGTTATCCGGCCTGCAAGGAGCTCATAATATTGGGATCCACATTCAGGCAGGGCAAAGCTAGGGCAGTCTTAGGACTTCTGGCGTGGTGTTATGGATCAGCACTAGACTTCAAACCACAAGGTCAGCAGTTCAAACCCACCAGCTGCTCCTGTTGGTCACTATGAGTCAGAACTGACTTTATGGCACTTAACAACAAAGGCAGTCTCAAGAAAAGGAAAAAAAAAAATGGGGCTTGGGGGAGGAGTGAATAAAAAGCACATTTTTCTTTAAGAAGGAAGCTTTATTTGGCGGGAATGGGGTTCTGCCTGGCACGCCTAGTCCTCCCTTGCCCACCCCCATCCGTTTGAGTTGACTTTACTTCTTCCGGATCCCCTGGGACTTCTCCATCCTGATCTCCTTTGCCAGCTCCCCAATCAGCCTCCAATACTCATTGAACTTGAACTCTGAATCTTGATTCACATCCAAGCTCCTCATCTTCTCATCTAAGGAGCCCATATCCTGGAGAGACACCAAGAGGGAGGGCAGAGTTAAAAACTAGGGTTCTTGAAACAAGCAGGGAGGAGAGAATTGTCAACTCTGAGAGAGGGGAGAGGCTGCAACCCCAAGACAGTGCTGCCATGGGACCCACCTTAAGGGGCACCAGCAGAGGGACATGGAAGAAACTAGTTTGTAACATTTGCTGTAGTGTAGATACTTCCATTCAAGGGCAATTTCAAACCACAAACATGATGTTAAGGAATGCTGAGCTGGGAAGAGATGCATACAATCCAATCTGGCCAGCAGGTATGTTCTGGCCCCAGCACACTGTACCAGCCATGAAATTTGACCAAAGATATTGGGGAAGCACTTGTAGGGATGGATCCAATCTGGTCACCCTCAGAGCCAACTTCCTTCATGAGAATTGAACAAGCTCACATCACTGAACTGCTTATTTGCACAACCCTAATACATTCTTATGTATTAGGGTTGTGCAAATAAGGAGCTCTGGTAGTGTAGTGGTTACAAATCGGGCTGTGAGCCTTAAGGTAAGCAGTTCGAAACTACCAGCTGTTCCATGGGAGAAAAATGAGGCTTTCTACTCCCGTAAAGATTTACACCCTCAGAACCCCTGTACAGGGTCGCTATGGGTCAGAACCGACTCGACGGCACTTAACAACAACAACAACAATACATTCTATGGACTCCTGGAGTGGTGCTGCAGGTTAATGCACTGGACTGCAAAGTCAGTTTGAACATCAGGGTCAGCAGTTCAAGCTCACCAGCCATTCCTTGTAAATCCTATAGAGAGTCGCTATGGGTCAGAACCAACTCGGCAGCACACAACAACAACAACAATACAGTCTTTGTGTGGCACTGGATCACAAGGTCAGTTTAAACCACAAAGGCAGTGGTTCAAACCCACAGCCACTCCTTGGAAACCCTAGACAGGGTTGCTATGACTCAAAACGAATTCAGTGGCACTTAACAGCAACACCTTCCCAGGACCCTTAGTGGAGCAGTGGCTAAGCACTAGTTGCTAACTGAAAGGTCTTTGGTTCAAATTCACCAGCCACTCTACAGGAGAAAGATGTGTCGATCTGCTTCTGTAAAGATTGTTGTTGTTGTTGTTAAGTACCATAGAGTTGGTTCTGACTCATAGAGACCCTGCACAGGGTTTCTGAGGTTATAAACCTTTACGGGAGCAGAAAGCTTCATCTTTCTCCCACAGAACAGCTGGCAGATTCGAACTGCTGACCTTGAGGTTGGCAGCCCAACTCGTAACCACTACGCTACCAGAGGTTTAGAACTCCTGTGGGACAGTTCTACTCCTGATGCTCTAAGGATCACTATGAGTCAGAATTGGCTTGATGGTTTTTAGTTTTAATGTCTTCCTTTTTTTCCAGCTGGGGAAGGGTAATGACATGAGGCATTTGATTTTCTAAGGGGCCCTTGACAAAATTTCATAATGTTGTTGTTGTGAAGTGCCGTCGAGCCAATTCCGACCCATAGTGACCCTGTATAGGGTTTCCAAGGCGAGATTGAATCGCCGACCTTGCAGTTCAAATAGTTTTGCAGTCTGGCTCAGTAATGCACAGTGCCACACCAGGACTCAAAATTTCATAATAGGCCTGTGAAATTGATGGATACTTTAAACTGAACCTGCATGATCAAATTATTAGTTGCTGGATAAACAATCACAATAAAAAAGTTGATTTATGAACAATAGATCAATGTCACGTCAGAGAAGGATGCCTCAGACAGACCTTGATGTTCAACATTTAAATCAACATTTGGATGCAGTCAAACCTATAGAGGGCACAAAGCTAATTCACAAAAGAGCTAAACAAGAATTTTGTGATCAGGCTTAACTGTAAAATAATAAAAGCATGGCCAGCGGGAGGCCAGTATGTCCCGTGTAAGATTATATTGGGAGGAAAAACAAAAACATACAATTAGGCAAGAGAAATAAAAGGTATACGTATTGAGAAAGAATATTAGCAATTATATAATTACATACTTAGAAAAACCAAAACGGTGATAAAGGCTTAAACTTCAAACAAGCGTAAGCACTTAATAGTGATGAGTGTTCCAGACATTATGCTAAACACATGACATGCATGACTTCATTGAATCCTCATAAACTGCTACAATGAAAGGCTCCATCAGAACAAGGACCTTTTCCATCCTGTTCACCACCAGAATCCACTGCCTGGGAGTCCGTCTGGTACATAGCAGCTGCTTGTTCCCCACTGTAGGCTGAAGTCTAGGACAGTGTCAAAACAGGACATAATAGCTGCTCAATAAATTCTGGCTGAATAAAGGCAAGACCAACCCAAGGAGGAGTTATTTTTTGTTATGAGTTCATTTCACAGATGAGAATATTAAGGCTCATGAAGATTAACTAACAAGGATGACAAACCTGCATTTGAATCTAGATTGTCTGACTCAGAGCTTATGCTCTTAGCTACTTCATTGTACTCCTCAAAAACAAAAAATTTAAAAAAATTTTAACCATTAGAAATAAGGTCCCATCAACTGAAGAATGGATAAACAAATTGTGGTACATACACACAATGGAATACTATGCTACATTGAAGAATAGCAAGGAAGCG